ACCAACGAGAGAAATTTTCTTTGATTTAATTTTATTTCTTATTTCGAAAGGTTAAATTTTCAATTATTTAGGATTGAGAACGACTATCGCTTAGTTAATCGAATTATATTTTCTAATGAGGCATCTTAAGGATTTTTTTTTTAGTTTCTTCACATTTTTTTTGTTTTAATTTTAATATTACTTTATTTAATTCTTCATAAGTTTTGTTTTAAAAGAGAAATGTTTTGATTTAACTATTTTTCAGCAAAATACGTAGAAGAAAATTGAAACTTGAGCGACGTTTCTGCCATTCTATCAATAGATTAATCATTTTTCTTTTTCATTGTAGAAGATTACATTTCCTCATCTAAATATAACTGTCAATTTCTACTAAAAGAAGTTAATGAAGAATTTATTAACTTATGTTGCTATGTAGCAGCGTCCAATCTTCACGATACATAAATCAGCATCAATTTTTATTCTTTTATTTTCTCTTGCCTTGAATGATTTTCCCAGATGATCACAGATGATTATTTTCTATCAATTGTAATTAAAATAAATTTTCCTTTCATTAGTTTTCATTCCGAATCAAGTTTTCTACATTTTCTTACACTTCTTTTTTGGTCTTGTCAATTTTTTTTTCTCAAATCATTTTCAGCCTCAACATTTTCGATTCATACAAAACAGAAATTTTTTATTTATATTAATGGCGAAGAAATCACACAAAAGTCTAAACTTTTCTTTTCTTATTAACTTAATTTAACTACATAATATTTGTAAGTTTTTAATTGATGTTTCTTACTTATTGGAATAAAAATGAACATAAAAAGAAGAATTTGAAGATTCTTTGGGAGGAATTCATTCTTCCTTCACTTAAATATTTATTTCAATATTAAATTAATGTAAAACACAAACTAATGGATGGACGATAACGAATAAATGAAAAAAGGAGCATTAGGAACCAGGATAAATGATGAATATTCTTCAAAGAGATCGATAAAATGTCCAGTGTTAGACGCAAATACCATTCGCTGTTCCATTCTCCGTTCTCGTGTTTTTCTGCGAATATTTCAATAAAATTACCGTAAAAAGTGAATTAGGGAAAACTCACCACTTCACTTCGAACTTCTTCACTTTCACTATTTTGACTCTCCTTTCGTCTTTGATACTTTCTGAATCTGCCTAAGATCGGAAGTATCATCAGCAAAGCACCAGATACGACAATGAATCCACCAGCAAGATAGAAAGATAAATCATATGTTCCAGTCAAGTCATATCCCCACCCAGCTATTGGTGGTCCAACAAGATTCGCCACACCTTGCACAAGAAGCAATAAACCGTAAGCATTTGTGAATCTATCAAGATCCACGAGATTCACTAAGATGATACTCGTGAGTGAATAATTAGCAGCAATGAATAATCCAAATGCACTTGATAGAACGCACATCCATTGGTACGTCACGAAAAATGGTATCGCAAGTACTGAAACACCACAAAATCCCATCGAAATTGCATAGATAATGTTTGGATTTAGTTCATCACGATCACCAGCCCATCCTAAAGCTATTTCACCAAACATATTGATGATTCCAATCAAAGAGATGAGCATACTTGCATCTGTTTCTGTTACTTGATGCTCAATTGCCCAATCAGGTAAATAAACGTAGACAACATCGTACCACGTATATAAAATGAAATTTGAGATTGCAAATAAAAGAAATCGAATATCGAGAAAATAACTAAAGTCGAGAATGTCCTTGAAAAGTTTCATAAATTCCGACACCATTTGTGTTGTAGATGCACCTTCAGATGCGATTGTTGTCATTGAATTTCGATAAATATCAGGACATGAACTTGCCCTTAATCGATAGCGGTTTATGTTCAACATCGCACCACGATAAGTTAATGAGTGTCGATGAATTCTTAAATCTTTTAAGATGTCCATTACATGACTATCATGATGATGATGATGATGTTGTCGAAGCCATTTATCAGAAACATTTGTCTCTGATTCTCCTATTTGTATTGTATGTCGATGCTTTCGATTCTTTTGACTTATCGAATTTTCCACAGTTGTTGGTGACAGAATTGCTGATGAACCAATTGGTATTAATTGATCACAATTACTGAGACTCCTCGTCGCAAGCAGATGAGGATAGTTATGGAGAATGACATCGTGGAAGTTGCGATTTTTTGCAAGTTGTTCAAGGACACCAATCGGAATCTAGAATTATGAAAGCAAATTTTCATTTAAAAGTTTAACAAGATTTTACGAAACTCGAACTTGCAAGTTCGAGATTTTTTTACGGGAGGGTTGTAAGGGATTAAAAGCTTCTTCGAAGAAAATTTAATCCCTTATTATATCACTTGAAAAACTCACCTTTTCTCCATCTTTTGTGAATGTTGGAAGATTAATTAGTGAACTAAAAAGATGTGGATCATCTTCGGCCATCGCTTCAACAATGCAAGGATCAAACCCAGTCGCACAATTTTCTTTTCCAGCATAATCATTTGCAACTGCTGTTGTTCCGTTATTTGTGCTGTTAGTAATTGAAAAAGATTCATAAGATGTTCCATTCTTTGTCTTAAGTCTATTTTTTCTTTTCTGTTTTGCACGATGTGTCGTCCATTCGAGATCTCTCATTAATGCACCACAAACACACATGTTGAGGAAGATTCCTGCTAATATCACAGTACATCCACGCCAACCGTATTCACTAATTAAATATTGAATAATTGGTGGGAAAATAAATGTTCCAATTCCAGAACCACAAACAGAGATTCCTGTAGCAAAACTTCGCCTTTTATCGAAATAATAAGCGACGATGACAACAGCTGCGACATAACATAAACTTAAACCAACGCCTGAAATCACACCGAAGGTCACAAAAAGCATTTCCATTGAATCAGCCATAGCTGAGAGCAAAAACCCAATTGCAGCTGTGATTGAGCCCACAATTGTTACTTTTCGACAGCCATAACGATCTGTTAAATAGGAAGCAATTGGTCCCGAAAGTAAAGGCGAAGCCATAAAAATCGAGCCAATCCATGCTGTTTTGCCTTTTGAATCGCCAAAATATTTCAGGAACTCAACGTTGTAAATTCCAAATGAGAATGTTATTCCATCAGCAATCATGTTAACGAGAAAGCTTGCAAATACTACAACCCAACCCCATCCACCATCTGGTGCTTGAATTTCAGAGAACTCATCATCATCATCCGATGAACTTGAACTTGAACTTGTTATAGGCGATGAAGGGCATTCCTCGTTTTGCGTCACAGGTTCGTCTGATGAGGCAAGTGAAGTTGATTGTGTATTCACATCATTTCCATCTTGTTGATTGTGATTATTGTTGAATTGAACATGTTGACGTGATGAATCTACTGTCGATGCTGCTTGCCAACTAAGACGCTTATTCTTTGATCTTGTGCCATTTAATGGAAGTGATGGTCGTAGGTTTCCTGATGGACTCTTCACAATTGATTTTAATAAAGGTTTAATCTCTTCTTCATCATCGTTAATTGTCGTCTCAATTTTTCCATTCACACCATCATTGTACAAATGATTAACGTAATCATTATAAGAAGAATTTGTTGTTGTTTGTTGATTAATTGGTGTTTCTTGTTGCTGCTTATTGCTATTCTTCTCCTGGCTCTCCTTATACTCCTTATTACCAATATTATTAATTTTAATTTGCAAATTTAATTCATCCTCGTGACCTTCATGTTGATCATCATCATTTGTTGCTGTTGATGGTAATTGCTGATGTATTTCATTAGCTTCATCTGTGTCAGTTGCTGTTGCGGTAACGACTGTTGAATCCATTGGATCTCTTTCGTAATTAATTTATTTTCAAATCGACGCACTGGTGGACGCGGTGCGGTGTAGTTTAAATGCGGCGTGGCGATCATGCGGAAATCCTAAATGAGAATGAAAAGCAATTTGAGATCAAGGTCGTATTATGATCGTCTACATTTGAAACAAATTAAATAAATATCAAAGTAAATTTTCATTTCATTTCATCTCACCTCTTTTTGAAATATTTCACAAATATCGCTGTTTGCTTGTTGCACAATTGATGTCGTTTGGAGTGGCGAATTAAAGTCACCTAATTTTTGTTCGTTGATTAAAATGTCAGCCATTTACTCTCTGAACTTTTTAGCGTTTTGCTTCGGTTCTAAGCTTGAACCTTTATTTTAAATATTTTTTAAGATTGTTTGTCGGTTGCGCCAACAAACTTACAACGATTAGATCTGTCATGGAAGAAAGAACAATAAGAAAAAATGTGAATTGTGTTTAACAAAATAATAACAATAATAACAGAAGTGATTAATTAAATAAACTCATGTTTTCATTTAGCGATAAAAAGCTGTCGAATAGACAAAGAACAAGTGTTTTTACAAATAATATCAAGACATTCATTCATTCTCACATATGTTCCACAACAATGGCATCGCAAGACGATTCCATCGGACTTTCTATCGGAAATTTCTGCTACTGTGCGTAATTAAATAAAGAATTTTTTGCGCATCAATGGGTTTAATGAAATTCTATACTGACAAGGGAATTGTTTATAAGATGAGAATTATGGAATGTTATGCATCATGTCGACTTCCTTCATTTTTGTCAATAGAAAGATAAGATTACCAATGAAGTTTCACTTTAATCTATAAACAGAACACAAACTTGTCAACTACGTATAATAAACTTGTTACATAAAAGACACAAACATTAGTTTAGTAGCTGGCTTCATAGCTTCAAAGAGAAAAAAATTAAAACTGATCAGAGTCGAAGGAAAATTTCCAGTTTTTTTGTATCTTAAAATCTTGAGTATGAAATTCGTCACAAACTACTTCAAACGTTTAATAATTAAGATTTTCAATGATATAATGACAATGTGGCTTGTTCAAGAACAAGAATAACGAGTCTTAATGACTCAAGACAACAAACAATTTCCAATTGTTTACATCCTAAGCACTCATTCTATTGCAAACATTTACGTTTTCTTTTCTCTTTTTACATTTTGCTGTTATCAATATAGAAGAACGATAAGAATTCATAAGAAATGTGAGTTGTACATTATCAATCTTACTACACAGTCATTGAACGATTTGAGGAAAACGATCTCGCGTTCGTTAATGATAATTATAATTTGCAAGCGTGAGAACTTTTCTTCATAGCAGGTTCAATGACCCAAAGCTCCCCAAAAAAAATTGTAAGAAATATATGTCAAAGTTTTTCTTATCACTTTAAAAATGCTTACGTAAAAAATCTTCTTGAAGACAACTCTTGTTTTGCTCTCTGGGCAAGGTTCAATGACAATCAAAATATGATAATAAATCATTTCAACAAACTTTATTATAGACGCTTAATCTTTGCAAAAGTTTTCCATGGAAAATTATAAAAAAGACTTTGACAATCTTAGGACTAAAAAACTTTTAAATGATTGTACAGACTCATAAAGCCGAGGCCTTTGCCAGTCTTCTTTTCTGCTTAGTAACTACGCAATGAAAGCGTCATAATTTTTCGATGCGTGACAAGAAGTTATCGCGTTTTTCATAAGTCTGTAACTATGGCCATTACATGACATCGTTTTAAAACTGTAATGAATGAATCTTTTGTGATGCAAAATTCTCTCACAAGGCCTTCAATCACAGATTGAAAATCTCAATTCATCAGCCGGCATATAAACTAGAACACAAAGGGCAAAGAGAAGACTTATTTTTATTTTGATGCATTGCGAAATTTTTATCGTCTCTTCTCACACGGAGGATTTGTAACAAAAACGTGCTTGAAAAGTGAAATCATTCCATCATTGAATATTTTTACGAGATCTCTCAGAATGACACAGAAAGTGAAGCAAAAAGTGAATAAGCGTTGCGATATCTTATCAGAACAGTATTTATAGATTTTGTTTGTTTGGAATTAAGCAATTAATTGTTTATTTAGTTGATAAACAAGTCAAAGAAATTGAGTCGCAAACACAATGAGAAATGTCTTCGTTACGAGACAAATTTTCATTCTCGCGCCAACTCTCATATATTCTATTATATATTTTATAAATCATCAGTCACTCAAACTTAGAACAGCAAAAAATGTTAATTGGAGAGCAATTACTAACAATTACCCATTTATAATATTCCAATTCCTTAAAAAAATATGTGAAGCCCACAGTGCCTTTAAAAATCACTAAATTTAAATTAAACAATTTAGTTTTTGTTCTTGCTATTTGCTACAAGAAACATTGATTATTTGTACACTTTTTTCCAGTTTTACTAATTTTTCAATAATTTTCCTTTATGTTTTTCACTTCTCACGGTATTGACAATGAAATAAAATTTTATTTCGTAATTTCGCTTTCTTTTTGTGTATGTTTATTTACAAGCTATCGGAAAAATCTTTATTTTGTTTTTCTCGCTTTCTACGTTTTCTTAAAAATAGCGAAAACTTTGGCCACAATTCAACCACCATTTGAGCACAAAAAAAGAAGAATTAATTATAACGACAAACGTACTCAAGATAAACAACCTTTTTTCCCAACGAATTAAAGCAAACTGAAGAAAGAATGAAATTGAGTTCAAAACAGAAAACAACTGTGAGAGAGCAAAGTTTGAGAGCAAAACAAGAAATGAGCGGAGAAGTTAATTCACTTATATTTTGTTTTAAATAAAAACTTTTACACGAGCATGATATAAATTTTTTTAAAACTCAAAGTTTACACCCGTTTAAAGGTTGAGTAAGAGATCTTGATCTTAAACTTGTGCTTCAAATCTTGGCTTAAGTTTTTTGCAATTCAAATAGTTTCTCACTCTTTCTTAAAAAAAAAGAATAAAGAAGAAAAAAAATCCTAGTCTTCTTTTTTTGGCAACAAAAGGAATCGATAAGTCAGAAGAAAGACGAATAAGCATTGTAACTTGACATGAGCAGCCACTGAGTCGGAATCGAATTTCATTGCCAGTGGTCGGCCTAGGCTTTTCATTTTAGTTTTTTTTTCCTTTGCTTGATTGTTGTATTGTTGGGTCACGGAAGCTTTTAAGTCTATCAGTATTTATAGGTCGATAGCCTCTTGAATTAAATCTCTTGATGATTAAGTTGATCTCGACTGAAAAGCTTGAGTAAATCACATAAGCTTATTTGATTGAAAACCTAACTAAAAAGCTTATTTTAAATAGCAAAACTGTGCACATCAACAATCGATATTATTGGACATTCTGTTAATTGAATTACTCATGTTTACTCTTTGTTTGTTAGTAAATCCAGGGAATCTTGTGATTTTTTGATAAGTTATTGCTTATGTCAAGTGGATGTTTTGAAATTATCATCATAAAAACGTATTTCTTAAAAAATTGTATGAAATTACGACATTGTGTCGCATGCTTTCAAGGTCATAAATTAATGGAAAATATACTTCATTCAACTACCATCAATTATCGACATACATCATACTGTTTTAATTCAATTGTGAAGTTTAGATCGAATGCATTTATTGAATCAATTTTGTATCATGACCTTTGTGTAAAAAAATTTCTTCGTGCACTCATGAGTTTTACAGATTTTATGACAATATATCAAGTGAATTATTCTTTAGTTTCAAATTACATATTTAGGAAATAAAGTTTGCGGAAATGCTCATGCAAAATAATTTAAGACACAAAAATGCAGAAAATAGAAAAAAAGAGAACATTTATTTCAAATGCTGATTTTCACACGATCAAGTTGACACGTGGAAGGAATCTTCTGAAAGGATGTCAACGGATTATTATCATCCGATAAAGTCAAGGGAAATTGGGCCAAAGTCGTAAATCATCTGATTTCAAGGACGCCTCACCTCAGACAACACCAAATAACGAAAAATCGATAAACAAGACATTTTTCTTTTCAAATACAACTGAAAGTTGAATTAACTTACCAATTACGATTGTTTAACTATATTTGGAATTGATTATCTTGCACTTGAGGGATGCTAGAAAACTATTTCCACAGACATTATTCCTGTTTGCCCGTGAAAACGCTTTTTTATTTAATTTATTTTGTTACTTGAATTATATTTGGACTTCTAAATTTTCTCTTCGCTTCAATTTATTTTCGGTTACAATTTATAATTTCAACGTTAATTAGCAACTCAGAACACTCAATAAACTAAACTTATCCGACACTTAAAGTTGATTTTGGAAAATAAGTTTTTATTTTAAGCAGAATTTCTCGATATTTGCAAATATTGCTTAGAAGCACGTAAGCGTGTTTGGAAGTGTTTGTGAAATTTGTCAAAAGTGTTGCCAGAGTTTTGATAAAAAGAAAACGGAACCCTGAAAATAAAAAAATAAAATTTTTCTAATTAATCTTAAACTATTACAAACGATGTTGTCAAATAATGTTAAAATTTATTAATGGAAATGATCGCAAAGAGAACTTATCGACTGACATTGCTCTGAACTTCGAGAAACTTAAGAAAACATAGAAATTTCTAATGTGGTGAATTTTAAAGAGACAAACATAAACAAAGTGGTGAACTTTAAAAATCGTACAAAAATAATCACAGTTAATAATTTAAGTTGTTATGAAAGATTTATGAAATAAATAATGACAATCACAGAATACGTTCAATCTCTTGGCGATAATCCTTACTTTGGAGCAGGATCTGGGATTTTTGCTTTGGGTATAAAATATATTTCATTAAAATTCAGTTAATTACATACTCATAAAAAACATTCTTTAACTATTTAAGGTGTTGGAGCTGCTCTTCTTCGTCGAAGTGCTCAAGCAAGTCTCATTTTATTCAGACGACATTTTATGATAACTCTTGAAGTTCCATGTAGAGATAAATCTTATCAATGGCTTCTTCAATGGATAACACAGAAAGGTGCACGCAAAACTCAGCATCTGAGTGTGGAGACGTCTTTCCAGCAGAACAATACTGGCCATATAAAAACAAAATATGATTTTATTCCAAGTATTGGTACGCATATTATGTATTATGGTGGAACTTGGATAAAAGTAGAACGAGTAAGAGAGTCACACACTTTGGATCTTCATATGGGAGTTCCATGGGAAACTGTGACACTTACAGCTTTCGGAAGAGACAAGAACATTTACTTTAAAATGCTTGAAGAAGCTCGACATCTCGCTTTAAAATATACTGAAGGGAAGACAATAATGTATACAGCTATGGGAGCTGAATGGCGTGAATTTGGACATCCAAGAAAACGAAGACCAATCGACAGCGTTGTTCTTGATGAAGGAATTGCTGAAAGAATCATAAATGACTGTAGAGAATTCATAACTAGTCCTCAATGGTATGCAGATCGCGGAATTCCATATAGACGAGGCTATTTACTGCATGGTCCACCTGGTTGTGGTAAAAGTTCATTCATCACAGCGTTAGCTGGAGAAATAGAATTTGGTATTTGCCTTCTCAATTTATCTGATCGAGGCCTCACCGATGATCGATTAAATCATCTCTTAAAGTAAATTGATAAAATTTTAATTGAACTTTTCGTGAGTTATATTTTTGTTTAAATATTTTAGTGTAGCTCCACAACAATCAATCATTCTTCTTGAAGATATTGATGCTGCGTTTATGAGTCGTGAAGAGACATCACAACAAAAAGCAGCTTATGAGGGATTAAATCGTGTAACTTTTAGTGGTCTTCTCAATGCTTTAGATGGTGTTGCATCGACAGAAGCGAGAATTGTCTTTATGACAACTAATTATTTAAATCGATTAGATCCCGCGCTGATTCGACCTGGTCGCGTTGATCTCAAAGAATTCGTTGGTCATTGCACAACTTATCAATTGACACAAATGTATCGAAGATTTTATAACAGCCCTGACGTTGAATTGTTTGCTACAAAATTCGGAGAGAATGTTATGAAAGTAGGTAAGCCTGTGAGTCCAGCACAGGTTCAAGGATATTTTATGATTCATAAGACTTCCCAACAACAAACTGTTGTTGACAGTGTCGAAGACATTTGGAAAAATTAACTCATTTACTAGCAATAGTGCTTGAATTTTGTTACGTATGACTGTCCATTAATAAAAATGTTGACTTTAGTTATGAAATTGTAAAAACTATTTTTTTACTTCTTTCCTTACATGTTTTATAACGAAAAACAAATAAGAATTATTTGCTGGAAATGCAAGCTCAAATTGAAAATAGGAAAATATCCACGCCTTCATTTGGAATAATATCAAATATCGAATAATATACGTTTTTATATTGGATAACAACAAAATTAATTAACATTTTGAAATCGATCGAAAATATTCAGAAGAAAATTCAAAGATCAATAATATATAAAAATAATCAAATAATCAAACAGTTGCGTAATCATCAACCTTATATTCTTTCTAAACACAATTGAATATATACAAAAGGTTATCCATTCATCTCCGTGAGTATCTAAGGAACTTTACAAATATCGATAAATAAAAAAGAAAAATATATAATAACAACACGACACATTCAACGTGATTTTAGACATTGTCGATGTGGGAATCGTTCAAAAGTTTCGAATTTTCAGTCACATTAAGATACTACCTACTTGTTTTCATAGTACGTTTCAATCATTAAAAAGTACCCTTAACGGAGGCAGCTGACGTAATGAAATCATCGGTCACGTTGCAATCGATGTGCTAGCTACATTTACTTATTACGTTTCGCCAAGCGTTTTCTCCTGCCTTCTCGAAAGGTTGTTCACAGTATTATAGACAGTTCGATAGCAAGAACATTTGTGATTTCATTCAGTCTGCTTCCAACCGTCGAGTTGATAACTTGGAAAAAAAAATCTTGGGAAATATTTTTTCATTAAGTTTGCAAGAAAAAGAAACTCTTTGTCGATTTAAGAAATTGATGAAATGAAAATAAATTCAACAAGTTGATAAGAAGAAAAGAATTCGCGTGCCTACAAGAAAAATAATAAAAGTTCAAAATTCTACATGTTTTCCCGATGTTTCCTTAATTAATAAAAATTTAGTCGGTGATGGAAAGGAAAGTGTAAATTTCAATGTTGAGGCAAATCAGAATTTAAATTCAGTGACAAATTGTGCTGTAAAAGTGAACTGCCGGATGCAAAGTTTATTTTAAAAATAAAAAGATAGCGGACCTGATTGAATAACTACATTTCAAGAAATCAACTTGATATCAAAAATCAATTGACGTAAATTAATCCGGGTTGATGTAATTGATAATAAAGTGAATTTATAAATTAGCATTTATCTAAATAATATTACACAGCAACCTTATAATGGGTTGATGAATGTTTGTTGCATAAGAAAACATTTAATTTAGAAGACAAACATAAATTTTATCTGACAAGCATAAAAACAATTTTGAAATAATGACGATGACAACAGGTCAGCCGGGTCCGGCATCTGTCGAAATGCCTGACCCAAATCAATTACCAAAGAAGGAAAAACATATCGTTCATTGGTTTCGCAAAGGTATTTTAATTGTTGCTTTATTAAATTGACTTGTGCTCTATTTTCCCCCTATTTGAAGGTTTGCGACTACATGATAATCCAGCTTTAAGGGAAGGTATGTAGGAAGTTAAAAGGTTTCATCAATATCCTTTACATTTCCTGTCAATAATTTTGATTAGGGTTGAAAAACGCAACAACTTTTCGAGCAGTGTTTTTCGTTGATCCGTGGTTTGCTGGCAGTTCAAACGTTGGAATAAACAAGTGGAGGTAAAATTTTAAAATCTATCCATTAAACATTCTATCTGTTTTCATCTACCTAATGAAACATTCCAATTCTACGAACTGCACGTGACTCAATAATATTGTTTCAACAACTTATGTTTTATAAAGAAATTCAGATCAATTCAAGAATTTGACGCAAACGAACTGGGAAAGTTCTTATGAATTACATAAATTTTATTACTCTACTAACACAATTCAAATTTTTCAAAAAGAAAATTGAATTTGTAACAAAACATACTAAACAAAAGGCTAGGATGAGACATATTAATCACGTTCAATGCAATGTGAAAATCCAGAAAGTTTCTTCAGAAGCAGAATCATCTGGAATGTATGATGTTATAGATTTAATTGCTGTTATTTTTATGAATTCACTTAATTTAAGCTGACTAACAGTCTCACAGCTTGATCATTTTTCTTTTATGCATAAATTGATTGTGCAATATGAAAAAGAAAACACATGACGTCCATTGATGAGAGTTAAAAATTTCCCTTCTGTCACAATGGGGTGCAAAATAAAATATTTTAAGAACTCATTGACGTCAATGTTTTCATAATATCTTATTAGCCGAAATTAAACATTGATACTTCATTAAAGGTATAATAAAATATGCAAACAATTTCGGAGAATAACAATTTTTTCATGTCTGATATCAAATTCTCACGAGTACTGCAACGATTTCTATTAATAAAAAATGTCGAATATATCAACGCTTACATGATATGATAACAAATTTAATTAATGTTTTATTTTTGAATCTTTCCAGATTTCTCCTACAATGTTTGGAAGATCTTGACCAAAACTTGCGTCGTTTGAATTCACGTTTATTCGTCATTCGGGGTCAACCAGCTGAGAAACTTCCAATGCTTTTCAAGAAATGGAACACAACATGTTTGACTTTTGAAGAAGATCCCGAACCATTCTCAAAAGTTCGAGATAATAACATTACAGAAATGTGTAAAGAACTGAACATTGAAGTTATATCAGCAGTTTCGCACACACTTTACAAACTTGAAAAGTAAATGAAACTTTTGATTTTCTTATTACACAACAGTTTGATGTAACCCTCGATTTCAGAATTATTGAGAAAAACAACGGGAAGGCGCCATTGACGTATCATCAATTTCAAGCTATAATTGCATCTATGGAACCGCCACCACCTGCAGAAGCAACAATAGCGGAGGATATAATTGGTAATACAAGAACACCAATAGATGATGATCACGATGACAGATACGGCGTTCCAACTTTAGAAGAATTAGGATTTGACACCGAAGGTCTTAAGCCACCCATTTGGATTGGTGGGGAAACAGAAGCTTTAGGTATTTCGTATTCTTGCAACTCCGAGAAAATATTTCAATTAGGTAATTTTATTCACACAGCTCGTCTTGAGAGACATTTGGAGCGCAAAGCGTGGGTGGCAAGCTTTGGTCGACCAAAAATGTCACCACAATCACTCCTTGCAAGCCAAACTGGTCTTTCTCCTTACCTTCGCTTCGGTTGCCTTTCTACTCGTCTTTTCTACTATCAATTGACTGATTTGTACAAGAAAATAAAGAAAACTTGTCCACCTTTAAGCTTGCATGGTCAACTTTTGTGGCGAGAATTTTTCTACTGCTGTGCAACAAAGAATCCAAATTTTGATAAAATGTCAGGTAATCCAATTTGCGTTCAAATACCGTGGGATAAAAATCCAGAAGCTTTAGCGAAGTGGGCGAATGGACAAACTGGTTATCCATGGATTGATGCGATTATGTCACAGTTAAGAGAAGAAGGATGGTGAGTGTAATGAAAACATCTCTTTTGAGTGATTTTAATAAGAAAATGAGTTTCCAGGATTCATCATTTAGCAAGACATGCTGTAGCTTGCTTCTTAACACGTGGAAATTTGTGGATAAGTTGGGAAGAAGGAATGAAAGTATTTGAAGAGTTATTACTTGATGCCGACTGGAGTGTCAATGCTGGAATGTGGCTTTGGTTGAGTTGTTCATCTTTCTTTCAACAATTCTTTCATTGCTATTGTCCAGTTAAATTTGGACGTAAAGCAGATCCAAATGGTGATTATATAAGAAAGTACATACCAGCATTGAAAAATTTCCCCACGAAATACATTCACGAACCTTGGGTGGCATCTGAAGCGATTCAAAGAACGGCGAAATGCATCATTGGAAAAGATTATCCACTACCCATGATAAATCACGTCATAGCTTCTCGAAACAATATGGGACGTATGAAACAAGTTTATCAACAGCTGGCAAAATATCGTCAAAGTAAGAAAAACTTTTTTAAATGAAAAACTTTCACATTAACTTTCTTTTTTTCTTCCTCAGCACCAAACAACCCGGAATTCGGTGGTTCTGCTATTTCGAATATTCTTGCAAAAGCACAAGCTTCAGCTAAAGCATTCACGGAGCAACAGAGCAGCAGCCCATCACCAACAACTATTCTGAAGACCGTTAACAATTCTGGCAATTACATGTGCTCGCAGCGTTCCGATCATATTGAAATGCCACCTCAAACAGTCCTTTATCATGAACCATCTTTAAATGCAAGCTCATCAGTTCTACAACAACAGAATATGATGAAGCATAGAAATAATACAAACGACATGTGCCATCAACAAGAGAACATTAATGAATTTCAATATGATGAAGACGGTACAAGTCAACATCACAACAGCTATAATTATTCCCAAAAACAAATGACTGCACTTAATGAAACGCAACAGCAGGAAGATCAGCACACGATTGAGTTAAGAATGAATAATCTTGGTAATGAAGATACCGGTTGAATTTAGTCAACTCTTTTATATTAATGAGATTTATGTATTGTGAATTTTTTTCTCTCTTTTTTTTAAATAAATAAATATAAATAATTAGGTAATTTAACATGTAAATAATTAAATTTGTTAACGGAGAAATTTACTCAAATCATCACATTTTGTTATGAGATTAAATTCAGATCATTGTCGGTATTTCGTAGTCATCTTCATATTCTTCGTTTATTCTTCGATTCGATGTTGCATCCGGATCGACGCAAATATTTGGTCGAGTGTCATTGTTTATACGAATGATTTCTTTAATAAGTTCGAATTGAGGCTCAGCTTTTATGATTGAAATAAATTTCTTTCTCATTATTGCTTCGAATTCATCATTAGATGGCAAAACAGTGAAACGAATGATGTAATTCATGGTCCAGGATGATATCAACTGTTGATATGCAAGAGTAATTCTGTCAACTTTCAACTTCGTACAATTCTTTCCACTTGTTGTCTTCATTTTTGAGAGTTCATAATTCAAGTTTTTAATGGCAAAGCGTACAACATGTTTTAAAACTTTTTTTGAAGGGTCAATCTCGACCAAGGAACATGGACATAAATGATCTGGAATGTTAACATCTCGACAACTTCTTCCAGGAGAAACTTCTTCGAATAAAGATTGGCATGAGCGACATCCAATTGCCTTTTCAGGTACTTTTTCATCAGCAGAGAGATTAAGAATATGTTTGAGGGTGACGTGAAGATCGTAAGGTGTTGTTAACCGATTAGAATTTATCTTTAAACTTTCGACGATATCAGGGTAATCTCTTTGGAATTTTTTAGGTAATCGAATGCTAAGTAGAGGCGAACGTTCTTCATAAAAACCACCCTGAAATGTTGAAAAAATTTCTTTTTAACTGTTAATTTTTATTTTAATATTCTTACCATGTTCTGTTCAAATCTTGCCCCAACATCTCCAAAATAAATCACAATTAAATTTTTTGAAAATTCGTCGTTCTCCAATTTGTTAAGAAAGGAATTTGCAATTCTCGCATCCAACCAAGGTGATGAACTGAGATGTTTATCTACTAAAGAATTAACATAGAACACACCAAAATACGGTTCATGTACATAAATTTGGAAAACTTTTTGTGCATACACAAAGATATGATCAATGTAAAGAGAATTTGCGAGACAATATGTCAAATCATTTTTGTTATGGAACTTCATATAATTTTGAGCAGTCAAGACGTAAGGTCTCAAATAATGATCAGTTGGTTGCTGATTGAATCCTTTGTGATTTTTATTAAAGGTATTTCGATCACATTGATCTTCACCGTAAGCTGTGACATATCCAAAGCTCTGATAATTCTTCCAGATAAATGGACAACCATCGAGAAAGGATTTAGTCGTAGGATCACAATTTTCTTGAGCTTCAGAAGGTGACTGACCTGTTAAGATTGCAAAAAGGTTCGGAAACGAACTGGTTCCAATCTGAAGATTAAAGACGAACATAAGAAATAAATTCCATTTAATAAAACAACTTCACTCACTGGAGTATATCCTTTCAAATCAAACCAATAGTCAGAACCATTCATATAACTAAAACATTTCGGACTTCCACGTTGAAAATTCATTCTTGACATTCCGTCGATACCTAACATCAGAACGCTGTAAGGATTTTTCTTTCTAATTCCAGATCGACGCTGTCTATTAATGATTTTTAAATTCGACGAAATAATTGCTTGGACGTTTTCATAAAAAATGCCATCCTTGGGTGATTTACATTTTACATAAATATGTTTAATGTCATGGCTTAGTGGAGTTCGTTCCTCATTAAATTCGATGCATTCTTTTGAAATGGTGATGTTAGAATCGCTGTTTCTTACTCTTTTTATAATATGATAACAACAAACAACGTTATTAATGTCAGTTACATTGTAACGACCTAAGAGTTTTTTTTTGTATTTAACCACAGGTATGTCTTCTGGTCTATCAGTTGACTCAATTATTGTTAAAAAATCCAAAAGTTTGCAAGGGGGAAGCTTTGTTCGCTTGATTTTGAGATGTTTTATCGCAGTTGTTGCGGTGAAGGGAATCTTACAATTGAGATTGTCAACAATAAGCTTGTCTGAAATCAATTAGAAACCATCAAATTACCGTTTGAAACTGCTTCAAAATTACCTTCTGAAGTCTCCACATTCGGATAAAGAGTAAAAGCAGCGAAAATTTGAATGATGATTGTCAACGCACTTATTCCAATAATGACATAAGTGTAAATCTTAAGAAGATCATATTTCTGATATTGTTGAGCTTGTGCATTATTTTCGTTAGCCATTGACAAAAATTACCTAATTGAATTATTCTCGAACTTCTCGCAAACAATTTCAAAGAATTGAAATACGAAAAAGGTTTCTGCGATTGCTAGAAAAAGTAAATCTGATTACGTAAGAACATTCTATGAGAAATAATCAGAGAAGAAAAAAATTGTTGCTGACAATAAAAAGAATAAAAATTTTTTTCTCAGTGTAGGAACAAAGCAATAATAATTAACAAAAACGTCATTTTAAAATATGCTAGTATTTAATTTATCTGTAAATGTTGTCAGAAAAGCATTAGCATGAGTAACATCAGGAAGACATTGTCCCAGACATTCCAACATCATTGGATCATTTTTAACTGTTTCATTAAAGTCAGCGAATGTGATGATTCCATCTTTGTCATAGTCAAGCTTTTTGAGAATGATGTCAGCAAAATCTTTGACAATTTCTTCAACTTCTTCATCACGATGCTTGAAAACACACGAACGCAAAAGAGTGACCATGTCTTCATATCGAATCTCATTTTTCCCTGAAGTATCGTAGACATCAAAGCAATATTTGATTTTCTCTTCCAACGTACCTCGCAAGAAGAGCGACATTGTGTTGATCCAATGCTTCAATGGTACGCTGTCCGTGATTGAACCCAAAGCAGAGTAAATATGCTTCATCAATGTATCCTCGACCATTCCCAAAGACTTGTATAAAACTTCCCGGAAATATGTGACGGGTAAATCGGTCTTTATATCATTAGTAGCTCCACGCAGAAGCTTGTAATAAATCATCACAATTGCTTTCAACTCGTTGGAATCAAAATGCCAATTTGGGTTAGGACGTTTTAATATTTGATTGTGATATTTCAAAAAAATATACTCTTCAGTGCTTTCACAAGTTAAATCGAAGTGTGACATAATTAAACATTAAATTTTACAATCTTTTTATTAGAAAATTCTTCTGCAATCTGAACGAAACCAGAGATGAAAACTTTTCGAAGCCTGCTAAAATATTTTTGTAAAAAAATCAAATTCATTATCTGCACTTTCTTCACACAACAGGTGTGCCATCCTTGAAAATAAGTAAGGATATTTTTAAAAGAATATTTTAATATACAGAAAAGTTTTTTTTTGATAAATATTCAATTAAATGTTTAACAAAGCATCCGCAACTCTTTGAATAAGTTGTTTTCCTTGTTCTGTGTCTGTTTCATTCTTCAAAATTCTTTCAGCTTCCTCAAGACATTTCCGAGCATCTTCAATATTAGCACAATTGTTGTTCCTTTTAATCATTTCCTTCAATGCGACATGCTTCTCGAAATATAATATTCCAATATAAATTGGAATTCTTATCGCATATGGATCCAAAGTTTGGACAATCTGCAACAGTTCATTACACAAGTTCAACTTTTTCAATAAAACTTCTTCACTCAAGCTTTCGATTGGACAATCTTTATGTTTTCCATATAATTGAAGAAGTGCATGCTTTAAAGTGAACATATGATAATGTGTTGGATGTAAGAACTGCGAGAGTTTCTCAATCAATTCTTCAAGAACTTCACAAGTAGGTGATGAAGCGAAAACTTTTTCAATCTCATCATTCATACGAGCAGTCAAGAAACTGACCTAAGAGTAGCCAAGGAAACATTTATATAACAAGTTCTTTCCGAAAACTTATTTATTAAACATACCTGATCGCTTTTTATTCTCATTGGACATTTGTTGCATGCCCACTCTGCATTCGGTGAGATTGGATTAGTTGGTAATTGATATCCATTACATGGACTTTCATCGCTACCCAAGCATCTTAATGTGGAAAAATGTGTTCCTAATTCTGTTGGATCTTTGCACCTTTCGCATGAACACGTGAAATATTTGGCATCTTTCAAATGTTGCTGACGGAGTTGTGTACTCCACAATATGTGCGAGTAGGTCGTCGTCAAATGTTCATCGGCTTTGATTTCTCGAGCCGCTTTGACATTAATTTTGAATCCATTTTTCATGTCAAACGAGTAGCTACAATTAGGTAAACATGAATGTTCTAACAAACATCCAATTGGATATAACCCACAAATTTCATTCCCATTTGCTAAGTTTATGTACATTGCATTCGTTTCAATGATACCAAAAATTTTATGTAAAATCTTTTTATCTTTAATCGGGAGAACCACTTGATTAGATTTATCTTCTGCCTTCTTCAAAGGCTTCAAGAAATTATCTTCGAGATAATTGATTCGATCTTCAGCTTCTTTAAAATTCAACGTAAGCAAACGATTTTCTGCGTTGTCTTCCATTTCCATCAAGCTTTTAAACTTCTTAGGGTTTCGTCTTTGTAGGATGAGAATTTTCAAAGCTAACAAAGCATCTTGTCTGAAATATTCTTTGACCGATTTGATGCTGGTTTTATTGGCTGGACCTCTGCCTGCTTTCAAAAAAGCACATTCAATAGCGTGAAGTTCTTCGCTAATCAAACCAATGCATTCTTCACTGCAACATGGCCATAAACAGTTGGGACACTTTGTTCTCAAATCTTTTAATGCTTCAAAACATCCTACGCAAAAAAATGTAAATGATGACGGGTCTTCATCTTCATTATTCCATTTTGGTCCAATGATGCATGGTGGCTCAGAAACGACAATCGTATCTGCTTCGACATCACGATTTGCCTTCAAATATCTTCCAAATTTTTCATCTTTTTTAATCTTTTCACACGAGAAAGAAAAATTTGTAAAATTTGCTCCACATTTCTCGTAAAGAAAATAAAATTCAATCATACCTCAAATGGTCGACATTGGGTTTTATGAGTTTTCCAGTCAGCTTTTTGACATTCACGTGAACAATAATGAACCAATTTGCAGTTTGTGCAAAATGAATTCGAAGGCTTTTCACATTTTACGCAACTCTTATCAATCATTTCAAACTTAAATTCTCTATTTTGGGATCAAGACGATAATGAATGCGACAATTAGAATATTTTAAGATGATCTGAAAAATCTTTCGTATTTATTTGAGAGAATTTCGTAGCTCAGAGATCAATTGAAAATCTCAGAGACTCTGAATCACAGTAGAAAAGAAAACATGAGTGCAGTGGCTTGAAACGATCATGAAAAATAAAGTGAAAATTTTAAGGAAAAATATTTAACCCGCCAATGAAACTTTTCAATGCTTTAAAAGAAGAAAAGAAATGAAGAAATTTAGGAATATTTTCTTTTCTCATTGAGAGCACACATTTTTTTACAACTGATATTTTTAGAAACTCCACAATCGAATCATTCATAGATAAACACTGGTTGAATGAATATCTTATTTTTCGATGAAGATGTTAGTACGAGAAATATAAAAAATATGCAAAAGATGATGTTGGATTTTCGCCAAGCAAAGTGAATCAATTTTTTTATGACCAACTGCATTGTTTATAGAATTTAAATTTTGTTTTAATGAATTTATGCCAAATTTTCTGTTTACATAGAATTTATTTATTTTACCAAGGATTATGTGAACAAAAGTTTAATCTTGCAAAAGTTAATTAGCATGTAATTGTCATTTTTAAGTACCTAGTTGATGCCATTTTTATAATTAATATCGCAATGAAGACATGAAAATTTTGGTGCGACTTTGCTTGTTTGTCTTCACATCTTTGGCTCTCTCTTCAACTTTGAGTTGTAAGAACATTTATCGAAAATATTGATTAACAGACACTAGAAGTCACTGTTTATTTGTTTCAAATTAATCTTGATAAAAGCTAATCAGAGGTAGACAAAAAATAAATAAATTGAAACCACGATCTTAATAAAACAAAGGACGTGAAACATTTTTATTTCAATTTCCTTAAATAAAATACTTAAATTTAACTATGGATTTGCGCTAAAGATACGATAAGCATTGAAACTGCCGATCTTTGTCATTCCATCTTTTTCATAATGAAACGAGAAGAAACAACCAGAACACAAGTTCATTGGATCTTTGACATGAAGTGCACAATTTGTTACAAGATAATTTGCATCCATTTGTCCACAAATATCACATAACTTTGATCGTTTTCTGCTTAGTTTGCTGATTATTGGATACGCTGATCTCTTAAGATTATCGGATGAATCAAGAAGATCAACACTGGTAATACAAAAAATATGTTCACAAGCTCCATGATGTTGGTACACACAAGGATAACCCAATCGAATATTCAAGTCCTGAAACTTTTTTCCTTCCATTACTTCACTTTTGAAATTGCGAACATAGTGAAATTTCTTGAACCATTTTAAAATCGTTTCGGAATAATTGGCATTTGATGAGTTTCTGGTGTCGTTGTAAAATGTATCATGAATGAAAAAGAAGCCTGGATTTGTTTCATCTGGTCCTGGTAAAGTCACAACATTGGGGTTGTCGCTTATATCAAAAAATGGTCCAAAATTACACTGGCAATAAAATTTATCTCGAAGATCTGTGAGAAAATTTGATCCTAACACAAGATATTCTTGATGAAAACGAGGCTGATTCTTCGTACATGGAGAGTATTTAAAGGGTTCATAAAAACGAATCGTGAGGATTGAATCTTTGTATATCTCAAGATCAGCGAAATCGTTTTCTCTTTTTTTAGTTTTGGTGGTATCTTTAACTCTCGGCTCAATGAATGTAAAATTTCCTTCGCTAACAGTTTTCACAAAATTTAATTGAAGCGCTTCCTGGGGAAATGCCGTGAATGGTTGTTCAGTGTTAGAAGGTAAATCATTACCATAATCCTCGTATGTTTTACAAAGATCTAAAGTTATCTCTTTCAGTTTTTCTGTAGAAATATTTTCAATTTTCGTAATATCATTGAGATTCTGTGGCATTCTACCAGACAAAACACTATTTGAGAGCTTTTCTGTTTCCTCTTTCACATTATAAACTTTGTATTCTTTGGTGGGATATATGTGTTCCATGATAATAATATTTTTATTATTTTTTCATTAGATCACTTAGAAAAACACGAAAATAAATTTACATTAATATGAACAACATTTTTGTTTGTTTACTTTTGTTAAGTGGTGAGTTACAGGGTGGGTCAAAACTAAGAGTTGAATAATTTTTCTTTTCACCACTAAAAAGTAAAATTTTCTAAAAATCTGATTATTTTGTTTACTGTCAAGAAAGACCAAAAAAAATGAATTTATCAAATCTCAGACCATCATCCAAAAGTTCAATCCTTGACAAAACCTTAACTAAAGGGAAAAATGAAGTTTCTCTCAGTTTATTTGCTTTAGTTTTTTCCGAAATCGTGCAATATTCTCAAAAAAGCTGCAGTTCAGTTGCTGATTTATCGGAAAAACTTCATTCATTGGGCTACGATGTTGGCTCAAGACTTCTAGACTTGTACGTGCATAGAGAAAAGAATTCAAAGCGAGAAACCAAGCTGATCAACATGCTTTTATTTGTGAAAACTACTTTATGGAAGGTGAGCTCTTCTGTTTATTTTATGAAAATAGAAAACAAAACTATCTTTATCATCCTTGCTTTGCAGACACTCTTTGGTAAAGAAATTGATAAGTTGGAACATGCAAATGATGACGAAAGAACTTATTACATCATTGAAACTGATCCAGTTGTTAATAAATACATTTCCGTTCCTAAGGACAAAGGCTCATTAAATGCAGCTGTTTTCACTGCTGGAATTATCGAAGCAGTTCTTACTCTTGCAGGATTTGCTTGTAAAGTCACAGCACATTATCATAAAGGAACAACTTATATGTGTAAATTTGAAGATCATGTCATAGCTCGAGATAAACAACTGGATTAAAAATGAAAATAAATTAATTATATCAATCGTATTTCAGATGAAACTTTTTATTCATGATTTCACTTGTAATGCTACCACATTTTTATTATTGCTACAATTTAGATAAATTTGAATAAGCGATCTTTGTATGCAACTTGACCAGTTCTGAACTTTTCTTCACGGGTTTCTCGTTCATATTTGAAAGCCCAAGCAGAAAGTAAGATAGGAAGAACGACCAAGCCAAATCCAATTCTGAAGGTTTTAAAGTTAGGTTTGAAATGATCGTAATGACTTACGCGCATTGCATGGAAACGATAAATAGCTGGATCAAACTGAAAACATTTGATGTTGCGAATAATTATCTAATCAATTTACAACAAATTTAAGAAAACTTACAACATGTCCACCTTCAGCTGTCATATGGCGGTATGGATTATTAATTTGTTTTAAATATTCATTTCGGAGTTCAATTACTCTTTTTTGCTTGCTTGATATTTGCTCTGAACTCATTTTTTATTAAAAATAAGGACCCTAACAAGAGAAAAAAATGCAAGAAGTCACTTTTCTAAACTTCTCGAACGTGGTGAAATTTCAAAATTTAAAATTTTGCCCATCTTCACACCGTTAAAAATTCTAAATAAAATGCTTTTCTTGAAGAATGGGTTGGAAATGAAATGAAAATATACCTACATTGATATAAAGATTATTGTTTTGATTCAGTATAGAATTGAATTTGGCTTTGTCGAAATTGACTAAGTAAATAGTAAAAATAACAAAACGAGGATCTCTCAACAACACAATGTGAATTTTAAGATAAAATTGATATGCTAATGAACTACAAAATAACATAGACTAATAGATTAGAAATGTTGATGGAGGTGGGTCTACTAATCTATCCAAAATCCAAAACTGTCCATTAAACTGCTACATTAAATGTCTACTTTTTGAAAAATATTGACCAATGTAAGTAAATTCTTACTCAATCTACCTATAATTTATTAAATTTCCTTACTAAATACTTCTATATTTCTACTTAAACGACTGGTATCTTAACATCATTAAGCATTTCATCCCATACTTTTAGGCGATCTTGTTCAGGTAAAGATGTTATTTCTGTTGAATCGGTGCCAATATTTAAGCATTGTAAATCCTTCACAGAATTTATGTTAGACGCTTTTTCGATACATTTAAAATCACAACCGTCCCACTCAGGTGTACCATTAATGATAAACGAAGTTACAAGCGATATCATTTGTTTGCTGAGCATAAATTCTTTTGATCCAATTTCTGGTGTTTTAAAGAAAGGAACATTTGGATAAAACAAATACAATGAGTCATCACCATGACCTGCACCATCAAGTTTAGTTTGAAAAAACAATTGACTCATATTTAAGCTTGTCTGTGCATCAAATCGATATAAGAATGTCTTTCCAGTGCCTTTTGATACAACTCTTGATATAACTGCACGATAAATTCCATGCCAAAAATGGAGATCACCTGCATGCTGTATTTAGACAAAATCAAAAAGATATGTTTTGTTATCTAATCAGTCATCATAAGAATACAACTACATTACCCGTAAATATTCATTTTTCGTCTCCTCTGAAAAATTTTTATCGCCAAAATAAAGTCTTTTTAGTTTATCTCCAAATTGTTTAAATCTAAATGTGTGTAAATGACGAGTCGAATTAGTTTTGAGTTCCCACTTTGGAACGAGTGTTTCAGGTGTCGTAATATATTCCCAAAACTTGTCACTTCCAGAAAAACCGAAAAACATTAAACTTCCTTCAAGTGATGTTCCTCCAAGCAAACAATCGATGTCATTTGACCAAGCCTTGCGCCCCATTAAAATGGGATCTTCTGGCACAAATGTATTTTCGTTGACATAAGGCTCAACAACTGGAACGAAAGGAAACAAAATATGTTCCGTCATGATTTCTTCTTTCGTCAGAATTTTTGATTCTGCTTCGACTATTGCTGAAGCGTCAGCATTTTCAAGAACTTCTAATATTTCTTTTTCTCCACCATTTCCATCCCAACCTAAACTTTTTGCTAATCTTTCAGTGATATCTTTTCTCGGTGCTAACACCCACGACTTAATGAATGAAGTTCCAGACAAGGGTATGGCTCTGTTGAAAAGACCTTTACCCTTTTCTGATATCATTAGGAAATGAACAGAAACTGCACCCGCCTACATTTTAATTAATTTGATTGATTTAGCTTATCTGTAAATTAAAAATAAATTCAAAATTTTAGACTTACAGAAACTCCAAAAAGTGTAACATTATTTGGATCCCCTCCAAAGTTCATAATGTTTCGTTGAACCCATTTTAATGCAAAAACTTGATCTTTCAAGCCAGCATTTCCAGGAATATTTAATGATGGATCCTTCAAACTTAGAAATCCCAAAGGCCCAACTCGATAATTTATCGACACGAATATAATATCCTTTTGTAGCAAATAATCTGATCCGAAAATGTCACTCTCACCATGAGCGTATTGAAATCCACCACCATGAATGAAGACAGCAACGGGTAGTGGTTTGGAAGGATTCAGATATGGAGTGTGAATGCTAACAATGCCTGCATCTTCTTGACCTTCAACTTTCCTTGTCATTGGATTCACTGAAAAATATGATGGCCTAGTTTCATATGTTTTTAATGCATCTTCCCATTTTTCAGGTGGTTGGGCATCTCGAAAACGTAAATTTCCTACAGGAGCTTTCATGTAAGGAATGCTTTTAAAACTGTAGTAATTTCTTCCCAAAACTGTCGACTCCTTAGCACCAATAACTGGCCCATATTCAGTCCCAACAATAGCAAACTTTTCCATCTTTTATTAAAGGTTCAAATTTCAAACTCTTACTGATTGTAATTCTGCTTGTGCAATGGAATTTATAAGATAATTTTTTTTGTCTGTTATCAAAATTAGTTGATAAATATCTCTTTTTTTATTGATTGTGTGTGATGTATGTGGGGAATAGCAGACTACTCATACCATATTAGGAATGAATCGTTTTAACTGTCTATAGCTGAGAAATTCAATTTTATAAAAGTATTAAGGATTAGTAAGATAAAATAAATCATGATTCATGTAACGTGAGTAGCATTTTTCACGTTATATCGAAGAATTTTTTTGTATACACTTCAAAGAAATCTGTTTAGAATTCTATTGATATTAAGGAAAAATTATAAATTTCAAATAAATATTTATGATATTCATTATTTACTAAAATAAAAAAAA